GAATAAGCCCAGTAGATAAGCAAATAATTAAACATTTCAGGAGCGTATGTGTTATGGGGGGAAAAAGACCGAAGTAAGGGGTGGAGAAGACGTGGACATTTTAGATACGGTGGTCTCTTCAAGAAGGTGGCATTTTAGCAAAATCACTAAGGAATTGAGAGGAGCACACAGGGGCTTTCTCTCTAATGGAGAGACAGAAACACAATTTAGTATCTCTTGGCAAGTGACAAAGCAAAGTTTAGGTACCATGGGAACACAGATCAGAGGAAACGTTCCAATCTGGGAATTAGGAAAGGCTTTTGGGAGAGGTCATTTCTGTTAGGAGTTGTAAAAGATTTTTACAATTAATATATATATACATTTTTCCATTCCTAATAAAATGGTACTTGGAAGATGAATGGACAACTGGATGAGTAATTATTTTAGGCAAGGTTTTATGCCGAGCAGTTTTAAATATGACACCTCTCACTCAGCAATGTGAGAGAATTGCCATGGCTCACTGCCTCAGAGCTTCACTTTTTCCCATCCGATAACCAGAATCAAGAAAAACAAAGTATTTGAAAGTGCTTAAAAGACATAATAAATAGAGAAGCTATGGGAGCCTCGTTCTTGTTGGTGTATTCATGAAGGGATCAGCAGGCAATATTTTATTTTGTGGACCTGGGGTTTTGCATACTGTCTTCTCCCAGGGGAATGCATTTGGGGGTGGGGGGAGCTGTGTAGTTGAAGGAAACCCAGAGGACCCGGAAGCGGAATTTCCGGCAGGCGTCCCTACAGAAGGTGGCCCAGGGAGGCAGCAGGTTTGTAGCTTTCCACGTAGGTGGCCAACTCGTCGGCGTCCGCCTGTTACCAGTCGTGAGGCTGAAGCTAAATGCTTTGTCAGAGTCTGCTCCTCAGGCGGGAACTGCCATGGTAACCACAGTGCCCACAAGCTTCGCTGAAAGCCTTTTGAGTTTCAGCAGAAAGAAAGGGCCGCGTCAAACAAATGCTGATCCCCCCCCCACCCCAAGCGTGGAGTCCATCCAAACCTGGGAGCCCCGTGCTGCAGTCTGGAGACTCCTCTTGTCCTACAAGCCTAACCTTCAATTTGAAAATGTCCTGAAAGCTTTCCTCAAAATGAAAATATTTGTTCAAATCCTCAGAATGCAATAGGAAAATATCCTTCTAGCAAAAGCAATGACTTAGCATTTTGGGGTTGGCACAAAAGTAGGAAAACATAGTCCAGGGAATCACAGCCTGTCTGGCTATTGGCTGGGTCTTGCTTCTGAGGATTAAATCGCCTTATGAACTTGGCTTACCTTCCCTCTCGATGGTTCTTGGATAGGAGTCCCAAGACCTCATATTTTTATGTGCCCTAATCTACTTGGAGACTCTAACAGAGACTCACAGCATCGCACCACAGAGACTAACTTCCACAAGCTTCTTATTGTTGAGATGGGGAAACTGAGGTCCATAGTGGTTTTGTGATTTATCTCCAAGGCCACACAGCTAGTTAGTGTCAGAGCTGGGAATAAAATCCAGTCTCCTGACTCTTTCAACTACCTCATATCACTTCCTCCTCTCAGAAATGTTTCCCCTCTATTAATCCTTTTCTTCCTAGGTCACGTGATAAAGTTTGTGTTAATGTTAGTAAATGTCTTTGGAGCAAACTCGAGGGGAAGTATTCTCAAGTGTGTGCTCCTTAGGGACACATAACGCATGAGCAAGAAACTAGGTGGTCTGAAAGAGGAACTGTAAATGATGACACTTATTTCAAGTTCTCAGCCTTACAGAGTGAGAGGGGCCAACTTGCTTAACCTCTCTGTTTCTGTATTTGCAAAGCCAGGAGGTCTGTTTCCATTTAGTGGTTGCTCTGAGAAGTATTTGGAATCAATGACAGGGGTGAGTAGTACTTGGGGGCTGGGGAAAACAGAAAAGCCTCTGCCTCCCCATGCCCCTGGTTTTGCTTTGAGTAGCTGTAATTGTTCTGTACTCTACCCGATTCCTCCCCACCTTAAAACCCCACTTCCCTCTCTTCCTTGTAGCTAGTCCCAGCCCTGCCTATACAACATGAAGAATCTATCTTATTATGTTTCCTAACCAGATCCCCGAGTTGCACAATATTTTGTATACTTAATTCAGCCATTCAGAAACTGTTTGCACACTGGAACATGGTGTTAAGTGCTAAGCTCACAAGTGGGTTCCTATTCAACATTCATTCAACAAAGACTACATTTCGTCAGTGTCTACTACGTAGCAATTCCTGTGCTGGGTGCAGAGAATACAAAGTTAATTAAGATTGAAACTTGACCTTGGGAAACACATCTCTAGTGGGAAGTATAAAGATGAGCAAATAATACTTAAACTGAATTCAGGTTTATAATTACGCTATGTTTTTTTTTTCCTAATGCAAATTGTGTAAATTTCATTCAATGTTTCCCATGAGTTTATGAGCGTGAGAAGATGCCACATTTTCAAAATAAAGATGAGGAGGCTATGATGTTATTGTGGGTGGTGGTGTCTTCATTCTCTTTCTGTGATTTCTACAGTTTTAGAACATTCGTGGGCCACATTTCAACGTTTTGCAGACACAGATGAGGAACTGCCACTAGGACTCCAGCCCAGTCCCTAACCCTGGAGTCATCCTAGCATCTGAGATTCTGTGATGTCAGCTACCATTTTACCCACTTTATGGATATAACTGCTAGTGCACCACTTTAGTGACCTCTGAAACATCCCCCTAGCTTGGATGAATGTCTCACCAGTCACCACGGCCAACAGACACCTTGTTCTACCTGTCAGGCAGGGTCCCTTTTAACTTCCTTCAATGCTTTTTGCAGTCAACAAGGCTATGCAGAACTGGACTCTAGGATATGATGTGTCCACCAGAGAGATGTAGACGTGCAGGATGGTGTCATGAGTGTACTTCAGGAACATCAACTGACAGTCCCCTTTAAGATTCTGAGGTTTTTCCTTCCCCATGGAAGCATCAAGCTGAGCAATAATAGGAAAGAAGGGAAAGGAAAGAAGATATGAGTGACTACATCTGGTGTTGTGCATTTCATAATTGCACATTAAGAAACGTCTAATCCTATAGACTTGCTTTTAATAGAAACCAGATACTTCTGAGGTTTTATCTCCCAGGACATCGTCCAGCATCATAAGAAAATCCCCTGCAGAACCAGAGAAAGTGAGGCATTAGAGTCCGAGCAATGGACTAGTGTCAGCAATAACAAAATGGCTTTAAAGCTTAGAAGTGTGGATTTTTCAAACCCAAGTGGGGATATTTATGAAGGCATTAGAGGGATAACGGCAGGAGAGCGAGCAAGAGCATTCAGAATGGAAGTGCGGAAATGTCTCCCAAGCCAGATTGTGCAATAACAGAGTGCCAGAGACCACGTGCGGGAAAGAACCCAGCCCACGCTGTTTTGTTAAGGGCTTGAAATTCCCTGGGCAGAGACGACAGGGCAGCTACGCTGTTTGTTATTAGTTGTTGCTGTTTTTCATGCCACATGAATGTGACCCTAGAACCAAACCAACTGTTGTACTTTGAGTGAAGTTTAGAAATGTCCTTATAGAGCAAGAGTCAAACACAAAACCATGACTCTGTTAGTTTTGGCTCCACCAGGGGCAGAACCTGAGGCAAGGATTTGCATACAAATTGTTTATTTGGGTCATGCAGACAGCCGTGGTAGGTAAATGGGGAAGAGAAACAGAGGTGGGAAGATGGTCAATAAGAGGTGTATGTTAAGTCAGCTACCACCCAGAGAACTGAAGCTTCATACCCTAGGACTTCCACCCTGACATGCTGAACAGGGTGGTCCTCTTGTGCTTCTGAAAATAGAAAGATGCAGCATCTGGGAGTCTGATGAGGTGCACCAAACAATACAGGAGATGTAGAGACAGCGAGCAGGGTTGGGGGTGAGGCACTGAGACCACCTGCTGCACTTCCAGCCACGCGGCTTAGAGGGCTGGTTTAGTGCCCGCAGTGGAAGGGAGGGTCTCCTCCTGCAGCGTGATCGTCTGCCCCAGTGATGAAACTCACAGCACCCAGAAGAGCCCCTTCTGAGACAGATTCAGGTCCTTAAGTGGATGAACGCTTCTCTTCAGATTCAGCCACCACCGTGAGCAAGCAGTAGGGCAGCTCATGCATGAGGACTATCCAGGTTTCTCTGAAAGCCCAGGGAGCGTGACTCTGGGAGCTGGGCTGACCCAGGAACGCCCCGCAGAGTGACGCCTGGTGCAGAGGACGGGCTTTCAGCTCAGATGACGCTGAGTTGGAATTCTAGCACTGAGGCGAATTGCATAAATGAGTCTGGCTGTCTGAGCTTCAGTTTCCTCACCTGTCAAGTAGGGGTCTGGTCAGTTACATGGCAGGGTTCCTGGAGAATTCTGGAAGCCTGCAGCAGTGAAGTGTCTACTGTGGCTTGTGGCATCTCATAGGAATGCCGCAAATGTCAATCAAAGCTCATAAGCATCTTTACATCCCCTTGGATCTCTTCCAGGTGCTGAACCCCACCCTGTTGGAGTCTCCTCATACGAACCTTGCTGATACAAATGACCTTACGCAAACCCTTCTGATCCAGGCTGGTCTGACCTGCTGAGGCACAGTCTAGAACACTCTGCTATCATACAGGGAGCTTCCCTGATGGCCTCTGACGGGCTCACCAGAAGATTCCCTCAAAATGCAACATCCTTTTGGGAAAAAGGAAAGCAGCTTTGGACTCAAACAGACCTGGACTTGCTACTTCCTGTTCTGCTATTTAAAAAAAAAAGTTTCTTCGGTGCCTATTTTGTCCAGATCGCTATATTGGGCACTGCACAACCTCAGGAAAATCCAGGAATTTCTGACACAGACAAAGCACTGGAGATGGAGAAGGAGCAAACACAGGGCCTGTCCCTTTGTGGAACAAGGAAAGGGCCTCTTCCCCCATTCCTAAGCTCTTCAGGGGACTGGCCAAAGCAGGTCACGATCACCCCCAAGGGATATGCAGAATTGGGAGAAAGATGCCTGAGGTTCCCCCCCCCACATCATAACAATCTAAGATTTAGAAGAGCAGAAGTGCTAATTCCAAAGCCCACTAGACGAGGGGTGAAGGGAGCTGATGTGTTGACAAGCCTCCCTTTCATCAATTCCCAGAGAATGTCTTCAGGCTTCCCGAAGGCAATGGATCTGACACCTGCAGTTAAATGGATGGTAACTAGCAAAAGTTGAGATGAGGGTAGAACGGTGTCAAGGCACAACAGTTTTCTACTTGCCTCGATCAAGTCAGCATGGATGGCTACAGGAAAGAGTTGGGGGACATGCTGGCTAGCTTCCATAGAACCATAATTCTTCCTTCTCTGCGCTGCCTGGGAAGGTTGACCTGAATAGGCAACATCAGCAAGTTCCATGTTGGGTTGCCCTGGAAGCTCATGTCCTTCACCAAAGGCCACACCTTCTGTCAAGGGGCCCTTTCCATGTAGCTGGGCTCTGTGTTCCCTCCCAGACCCTATGGGCCTCTTGGTAATTACAGCTCCCAGCTCTTGGTAGTCTGTATGTAGCAGTGCTCCATTCTTTCTTGGTTTCCATAAATTCTGGACACATTGTTGTAAATAATCCCTTTATTAAACGTTCCTCAATCACCCAGTTTGGGTACACATCATCCACTTCCTGCTGGGATCTTCACAGAGATCAATGTGCTGAGCAACAGGGAGCATGTAATGACCTTTTCCATTTGTTAAGCTTTTCTCAGTACACCAGCTTTAGCGAGATGTCTCCATGTGTTGAAGAACAAACATGGAACAGTTTTATTCTTATTCTAACATTTATCAACTATATTCTATTAAATCCCCCTTTTAGAGCAGGATGCAAGTTCCCTACATCACACCTCAATGAGACTCCAGAGCTTTCAGTTACTCTTGGTTACTAAGAAAATCTTATTCCATTTTCTAAGATAATGCCATTCACTTTAAAGCTTCAGTCTCATACTTGCTGTCATCCTTCCTCCTCACCCCACGCGGGTTTGGCTAGAGGCTCTCGTCCTTGAGAACAGGGCTCATGATCAGGTCTCATATACATCACTCACCTGCTTTACCCCTGTGATTCCTACATGCTATTGGTGGGTGAGGTGGGAGAAGAAGGAAAGACACATTGCCCCCTCTTAAGTGACGGTGCTAGGGGAGGTGGCTGGATTCTCTTAGATGGATTGTGGCGTTTCTCTACTGATGACTGGCCATTGGCTTTCCTTTGATGCAGAGAGCACTCCAATCATCATCTCTACTGGAAATTATTGGTTTGCATTTGACCTCTTCTCCTCCCATTCAGTACTCCATCAAGGGCATCCAGCCACATTCTCTTGCTTCTGGTATACCCCACTTACTAAGGATCCTGTCACAAGGATGCCAGCAAAATCACTCAAGTCCAGCCACTCCCTGATGAAGAGAAATCCCCAAGTCCTTGCTGATTGCCCTTTGGCATTCAGCTCCACCATCTCTCTCCTGTCTGTCTCATACCCTGCCTGTGATGGGCATTCTGCTGATTCGTTGTCTAAGCAACTCCAAGAGGAGCCATCTCCAGCTTAGTGGAGGGCACACCATTTGAGCATCCTCAGTCTTTATCAGCACTTTTCATGGGTCTTTTTCCCCTGTGCCCCAGGAAGGGGAAACACCTGGAGAAGTGAAGGCAAACGATGAGCCCTTACCTAAGCTGGAATGCCCCTCCTCTGTGCCAGTCCTCCCTGCCTATGAAATTAGAAAGGAGATGAGTGTGTTCTCAGCAAGCCTTCTTGGGAGGGCACTGTCTCCCAAATGCTGGCACTTTTCTATCTCACATGTGAATGTGGGATACTGGAAAGCTCTTTGTTCTCATCTTTGGGTCTTAGCAGTAATTCTGTGAAAATCAAGAAAAGTCTCACTCATCACCTAACACTTGCTTATTCCACCAAACTTTGATGTGAACCCCACATCTATGACTTCATTTGATTGTCAAAATAACTAAATTTTTAGGGCTAACATGAAACTCACTTTATAGAGGGGAAAAATGAAGGTATAAGGAAGACAAACTACTTGCATAAAAAAATTAATGCTCGAGTACGGATTTGATCATAGAAACCAGGCGTCTTGACTCTGCCTAGTGATTTTTCTGATAGCAGATTAGACTGTGAGCTCCTTGAAGGTCAAGAGCATATCTTGTTTGTTTCTGTCTCCTTATGCACCTGACAAAGATAGTATGTACTCATTAAACATCAAGTAAATGGAAGAGCAAATAAATTTCTAGACTCTCCATTGAGTCCCAGAATCTCAGACTGGAAAGGGGCATTAAAAGCCATATAACCCAGCTCTGCAGCGGGTGGACGAACCCCATCTACAAATCTATTTCCTCCTCAGTATTGCCCTTTAGTTTTTAAAACCTATGATCATAAGTTCCGAAGATTCTGTTCTCTCAGCAAGCACCTTCGGTTAACATAGTGATTCCACAAGGGACGTGGTCTTGAAGCTTTTATGGGTCTGAAGTCAGCCAGCAGCAGCAGCTGCATGATTTACCAGGCAGCATGCTAATCCTTTTACTTACACTCTTATTTGATTCTCACGAGAAACCTCTGGGGATGATACCACAATTATTATCCCTATTTTAAGGTGACAAAGCTGAGGCTTAAACTAGTTATATTACTTTTCCAGGATCGCACAGCTTTAGAAAATAGTCGTGTCATATTTTGAACCCAGGACTGTCTGAGTCCAGGGCCTGAGGTTTTGAACATGACAGCTCTCAAACAGGATCCCGAGTTGTGGTCTAACCAGAACAATGTACGTTGGAGACATCAATCCCCTCATCCCAGAAGACTACCCTTACGGCTGCCGACACCATCTAGGAAAACATTCTCATTTATAATGAAAAACAGATTCTTGCTTCTCTGCACTGTCGTGAAAATACAGCTTTGTGGCATTCTCCGTTTTCATGTATGTTTCTCTTCCAGGCACTCTCATTCCACAGAGCTCTTGGTTGTAAGAAACCAATACGCTTCTCTCTCACCATTAAGATCTGACAAGAAGAGTGAAGTGTGAGCACATCAAGGCAATTGGCGTGTCACCGCTGTCAGTAAAGGAAGGCTGCTTGCTGAGAAGATGATTCATGTTGCTTTGAATGAAACTGAAATAGGAAACTTCTCTATACATCTGCCCTCCCCCACAATCCTGTGCCCATGAGATATTTCTTCAGTGTTAGTATGACATTGGGAGATATCCTGAGATCTGTAAACGTTCTGGCTGCAGTATCATTGACTTGTTAAACTGGCAGAGGCTTTAGAATTCATCCAGTCTGAGTCCCTCAGCAAATAGAAGACACTGAGACACAGAGAGGGGCAGTCACTCACCCAATGCCACACAGCAACTTACTGAGAAGCATAGCTCTAAGTCTTCTGACCCCCAGGCTGGATGCTTGTCACTGAACACCACTCCCTCAACCAGAGACTCGACAGATAAGACTGACTAGGCAGGGGATAGGTGAGAAATCTCACTTATCGATCTAGTCTATGGCAGTCATTGTGCATTTTGTCTTCACGAGCCTTATAAATACACTGAAAACTGGTATCATCTTCATTTTATACGTGAGGGAATTAAGGCTTAGAAATTTTAAATAATTTTTCTATATGTACATAGCAGGGAAGTGGCAGACCTACTTTTAGAACCATGTTGTTCCAATTCTAGCACTTGTGTCTTCTCCAGAATTGACATGTCCATAGCTGAACCCTGATCTTTCTCTTCCCCTCTCCTCAACTCTCCCCCATCCCCTCTTCTTTCCCTCTCTCTCCCTCAGCATCCCTTTCCCAGCTACACAGTGACTCAAACCAGAAACT